TTACGATATTATTTTAAACGGTGGTAAACGGAGCAAACGCTCAGCTGGTATAGTTGCGAATCTATCGTTTTGCTTCCATTCGAATTTCGACGATGGTGCACGAAAGTAAACACGTTTACTCTGTAAAGGTACAAACCAACTACATCTAAGCGTCATTACAAAAATATTAAATCTAGCAAGCGAAGCTAGGCTCGACTTTGACTTATGTCAGATATACGTGTGTACGTGTACGTGTACGTGTACATGTATGTGTATGTACGAATACATATTTATTTATAGTACTGTATATGTATAATCTTAATGTATGTAGCTTTTTGAAAATACGTTCTCAGAATTCTCTCTTTTCGATTAGCGATGTATCTACGCGGGACCATTCCTCTTCGGTGACGGCCAGCGTTTCCTTCGAGTGTCCTGTTATTGTCGTTAACTTGTAAATAATTTTCGTGAAATTATTGTCGATAAATAGAAGACATAGGTAATCATGCGTATGTATAGCCTACTTTTCAGACCGTGGTGTTTTCGATACTTGCGATATGTCGTATCATCCGTAATGATCGACAGAGAGCTTATTTTCTACGCGTATACAGATCAGAGATTTCATTTAGTTAAAAGGTAGTATACACTTTAATTTTCGAATCGACGTTATAATTATTATCGAATAAACGCGAAGGAATATTTCCCGTTCTTATTGAAGTTTCCAAAAATTTGTTGAAAACTGTTGTTTTTTTCCTTGTTTTTCTATCATTCGCACCACGGTCTGCGTCAAACAACGCAAGGATCATCGATCGCATAATTAGACGTGCAATAATAAGAATTATATCCGACAATGTGTCACGACTCGCTAATCGCTACATCTACGATTACGATAAACCACGAGAGTTCAATTCACGAGAGTGCGCAGTGCAGATTCTTTCGATTTTTTTTTCTTTTTGCTTTTTTGCTTTGCTTTTTTTGTGTTTTTTGTTTTGTTTTTCTTTTTTGTTTTTTATTAATCGGGAAAAAGATCGCTACCATACGCGTTCATAGCGAAGAGTGCGATTAATTTCGCCCGAGGGATCGGTTACGTCGACCATTTGTCTGGAGACAAGATGTGTCTCTAGACGTGGATTTGCTAAAAGTCGAACAACGATTGGTTGACATCGACATCAGAGGAGGAGTCTATCGCATTCTTCTCGCGCGCGTTCCGTAGTGTTTAGCGTTAATGTTAACGTTAATCGGTAATCGTCTATCGTCTATCGTCTATCGTCTATCGCGCCTTCCTCGGCGGCGGATCTTACAAGATGCTACCTACATGTACATGTACCTGTATAGTACATTTGTTCGGCGCATTATACTAAAGAAAACGAGATAGTCGTTACAATGGTCGAAGAATCTTCCTGTACAGTTTGTACATATCCATATATATATATATATAGTATAGAATTCTCAAGTATCTTTCGTCTTCTCTCTTACTCTACTCTTACTCGAGTCTTTGACGAGTGTTATTATACCTGCACGCTAACTTAATTTTATACTTAATTATTCGATACTGCGTCCAAGCTGTTGAGCATCGTAAGATTCGTTTACGATTAGATACGAAAGTCGAAGGTGCTGTTCTTTGGTTACGTTTTCATTGTAGAACGAGCGGAACGAGCACGCTTCGTTAGAATATTGGATATGGCAGAGATATGACTCACGAGTGTAAACGAATATTATAGATGTAACAAGTGTTGCCGTTAGACTGCACGGAAAAAAATATTATCGAATCAAAGTTTTAACGACGAGACGATTCGTCTAGAAAATAAAGTCAACTAGGCTGACGCGTGTCTTTTCGATACATCTACGAGAATCACCGACGCGAAAGGTAGAAAGGTTGATATGGTAAATTCGACATCCCTGGTCTCTCGGGGCACTTAATTTCTGTATAGTAATTGGAACCGATGCGGGTAGAAAAATATCGTAACGATCGCAAACTGATCAGAGTTTCAACGAATTTCTCGATTTACGAGTTCCGGTCGTTTGACGCGTTGCAGAGACCGGCTGTCAACCAAGCAAATATATGAAAAATATTTTCGTCCGTGAAGACTAGGCCCTCGATCACAGATGTAGACATCGTTGTCCGCCAAGTCGCCGCTCAAGTACTACAAACTATATAAAAATACAAAATACAAATGCCATTTCTTTCGTATTTTTTGTTTACACCCTCCTAAGAAACGTGTGACTCCTCTCTCGAATTCGAGATCGGATGGTATCATTGCACAAATGGTTAGTTAGTCTATCTATACGAACGCTTATACCAACGAGAATTATCAAAAATTGTCTTATCGTCGCACGTCGGCGTCGGTGGCAGCCATACCTCCAGTTCCAACTAACTCGACGACAACAAAACTAACGACTCGATAGATACGAGTAGAGTGTCTTGTTCGAGATGCGACCGCCCTTGACGTTACAAACAAAATATTGATCCGGCGCAGATGCCGTCGTGTTGGAATTCCTACGGTACCACGAGGTTTGGCAATAGCTAATTGTAAGTAGTATTGTCGTAAAATTTGTCGATCCGGTGTCGCATAGTCCGAACAACCATGCGTCCATATGGACACGCGCGTCTATACAATGTACGATGATAATCGATTTACACGATAGGTAGGTACTTACGATTAGTATGAAAGATAATGTACGTATGTACATATAGTATCTACATTTTGAATATTGTCATCGTTAAGCGAATGGCCTTTACGCTAAATTCTTCGAACGAGGCCATCGGTGTGTTGTTTATATTTGCTATTGGACATGAAATATTTGTCTTTTTCGGCAAAGATATTGCGTCCAACGCTACGCTATACAGGGTACTCGGTAATTTTACTTGATCCACGTTACTCGAATTGCCGCATACTTTGAAACTCAAATATTATGAAAAAGATATCTCTTACGAATCAAGTTTATTCGAAATTTTTTTGAAATTTCTTCTTTCTCCGACGAATCACTCTGTTTTCAGTTGCACCGCGAATCCAAGATCGTCATTGTGTGCTATACATATACGTTACGCTAGCGCAAAGCGCGGATATAATTAAGTCGATGAAAAAATAAATCGAGTCGCTTTACCTACGGTAGAACATTTCGTTATGTATCACGATGCAGTTTATCGCGAACGCTGTACCAGCGTTTCATTTCTCTGATAACAACGCGTTCATCGTTGACGAGATGCGGCCCCGATTTTCACCAGCAAAACTAACCGCTAAATTTAATATACGCGCATCGATCGATCGTTACACGCTCGAAAGAACAAGAATTTGATTTTTGGAAGTAGTGAAATCTTTTCTATCTTTTAGTATATCGTTACGATTCCAAGTTCAAAGACATTGAACATAACAAAGAAATATTCGCGTGTAAGTTTTGACGTCGATCATCGCGACGAACCAGTCTATCGAGTGTATTCCCAGTATCTATGTATTAACGTTTCCTTATTTCCCTTCGACTCTTGCTTGTTTTTTCCTCTTTCTTTTTTTGTCGTGTATTTACATACGTATCTACGTCTAGTGTAATTTGCATTTTGCGTGCTCTCTGAGAAGGCACGTGCACGGAAGAGCGTTCTTTTGTTCCGACGAGATTCTTTTCGAGTGCAAGTCCAGAGTAAATTCATTCGAAGGTTGCGATAAGTACCGAAAATAATTCATATGCTTATCTTGGTCAAAATATCGTTCGACGTTTCAAGACAGACACAAAGATCGCTACTAGAGCCGACGGGATTCATTCGTGTCCGCTTGGCACGTTTACGTCGAGAGTGAGCCGTAAAACTGGTCAAAGAAATGATGAACATTCAACTCGACGACTAGCTTTGTCTAAATGCTACTTGGTATATAAATTGTACCATTTCGATTACACGATACGAGATTCTTTAGAATGTCGATTATTCAAAGACGACGATTAAGAAAAGGGACTCTTTGTCGAATGGTTTCCGAGACCAACCTTGTACATGGACGACTATTGATTGTAAGTCGTCGATTATTTTACGTGTTGGAGAAAGGAAAAAGGAAAAAGGAAAAAGGAAAAAGGAAAAAGGAAAATGGAAAATGGAAAAAGGCAAAAGGAACTCGGCTACCTAAAGCCACCGCTGACGAGATCTTGATTTATCGATACCGTAATGATCTAAAGATGAATCGCGAAATGTATTCCGAGCAGTAGAAAGATCGCGTTTAGAATTTCGATTGGGATCGCCGCGGCTGGCGTTCCCGCTAAATTACAACTCGTGATCGTGGTGGATAGACGATGTAGAGATTTGCCCGATAAAGAGGCTCTCGAGTGGTCGTCGACCCTTGCCTTTCCCGTACATCACAAATAACACGTTTTATAATAGATGAAGGCGACCGTGTCTTTGCCAAATGTTCTACACTCTCTTTCGTAGTGCACCTGTCCGGGCTCGTATCTTCCGGCCTGGGTATACTTGTCCAGCCTCGACATGCTTCTGTACAGTCTGAGATAATCATCTTCGAGTTGGTCCTCTCGGTATCTTCGACGACGATATACGTCGTCTAACCTGGCCGTCCAGTCTCGGTCACTCGGGGATAGAAAAGACGAAATACTGGGCTCCTCGATCCTGTCGTCTAGCTCCAAGTCTAGGTCCGAGAGATCTTGCAGACTCTTGGGATAGCCGCGACGCGACTCGAGGGAGCCTGACTGCTTTCGGAAGTTGATGGGCCTGCTGCGTCTTGGCAGGGTGGAGCTGTAGGTCCTTTCACCTCTCGCGCGACTCGTTTCATTTCGCAGAATCGGTTTCGAGACACTCGGATCACCGAGAGCAGGGAGATTTCTCCATGGATGCGCTGGTTCGTATGCAGCCGCGTAATGATTGCCGACGGCCGCGGCGCGTCTTCTATCCGTTGTAGGGTGTATCGGAACCTCCGAACCGCGATCGATGCTGTTCGTCTCGATACTCGTATCCTGCGGGTAAACGTTTCGGTATCGTTTGCGATTGTTTCTCTCGGTTCGAGCGTAACGACGACGATTCTCCTCGCAAGTGTCTGCGTCGGCGTCGGCGTCGGCGTCGGCGTCGAATCGATGTGCCGGTCGAGGTCGTGCGGGGAACCGATAATCGGCCCTGATCGCGTCACCGTTGCTTTTGCGAATGGTCGTCGCGTTGGTTCCTCGATTGGCGGTCTCGTCGATGGAACAACGGCTCGCGAAGAATCCACGAGACTGCATAAAGCTTTCGACGTTTCTACCGATTCTGTTGGTTTTCTCCGCGAAAATGTTGCAGTAGTCGGATAATTTTCGATTACTAGCGCTCCTGTTGGCTGAGGTCTGACAGGATGTGCCCGGATGGTTCGAGTTGTACAGATCCCGTGGATCGTGTTGATTAGGATAAGCTCCTCCTGGCAGGGGCTTGTTGGCCTTTTCCAGATTCGACAGGCCTCCTGTCAGCGAGGCCTTATACTACCGTGCTTGCGCGTAGTCTGGGTTCATCTCGTCCAGCTGTTTCCCTTTCGTTTCCGGGACGCAGCAAACGACAAAGCACAGTCCGCATACCGCCACAGCCGCGTAAAACCAGAAAGCTCCGTGCAGTCCGAACGTCTGCAACGAATTAACCGGTTAGCAAGGTTCCTGGTTTTTTCCGCGAGAAATACATCTCTCACCTGCTGAAAATCCATAAAGAGTTTAATCCCAACGAACGCGCAAAAGTAGCTAAAGCTGGTGCTGATGCTCGAACCAAGGCCGCGATACTCCAGGGGGAAAAGCTCGCCAATCAATAACCACGAAATTGGCGATATGCCCAGAGCGAGAGCTGTCGTGAAGACGAGTACGCAAAGCAACGGTATCCAGTCGTGTTGGCCGACAACCGCGTTGTCCGGATAGCCCAGATTTTGCGTCTGCGACATGTAGTAAGCGTAGCTACCGAAACCTGCCAATGCCAACGACATGAACACGGTGCTGGCTATCAGAAGCGGCAAACGGCCCACGATATCGATCAGGAATCCTGCACACGGTAAAAAGGATAACGAGCGTTTTAGCGTTTTTTTCAGATCGTTTCGACTCGACGCCTCGTTTATCAATTTCAACGTTACGACTATTATTTTGGTCGTTGGCTGATCGGCCCTTACCCCGTAGCCGTATCTAGTAGCCTGGTACACCTACCCGATAACAGGGAAGCCAACAATTGCACGAAGCCAATCGCAATGGTCGCGCCGTGAGGATTCATGCCACCCAAGGTCTGGCGAAATATAATGACCGCGTAGTAATTGAACGCATTCGCTCCGGAAAACCTTTGGAAAAACATCAAGCCGCACGTTATGGCGATGGGTTTGTACAATCGCGGCGTGAACATACTGTTTTTGAACGTCAGCTCGTACTGCTTTGCTCTCGAGGCCAGAATGTTCGTCTTGATCACCTGCGACCAACAATTTCATCATTTTTAATGTTTAACGATACGTTGCTCGGGGCTCTATACATATAACGGAGAAGGAAAACCGAGTTACCTGAAGTTCGTGTCGTATATCGACGTGATCGCCGCGCAGCCACTGTAAACTGTTGGCTGCCTCGTCGTCTTTGCCATTCAGAACGAGGTACGAAGGCGTCTCGGGTATAAAGAGGGTCCCCAAAAACAGCATCGAGGGAGCTCCTGCTACCAGCAGGGCGCTTTGCCGCCAATTCATGTACATGCCCGCTATGTACGACAATAACACGCCGACGTGACCCAGCACCTTCAACATGGCCGATAGGCAGCCTCTGATGCCCGGCATCGAGATTTCCGATATGTACACCTGAGACCGGAAAAGAAATTCAACATCGAACTTGAACTTGTTTTCTCGCCAAAGACTTTGTCCGTTTCGACAACTGTCGTACCACTCGTAGCATTCTTACCTGACCAACCATCGTGATGACCGAACAGCAAAGACCTCCGACGAAGCTGGTCACGTAGACCAATTCCACGCAGGGTGCGATTCCGGTGAAGATCCAAACTGCGGTCAGAGGCAACGACGTCGCGCGGAGGGCCAATCGACGCCCTCTTCTCATTATCCAGTCGCCGATCATAGCACCGAACCATGCGCCCAGCATCGACAGAGACGCTACCCAAGAGGCTTCTTGTTGCGTCACGGAGAAAGCCGACCTGCGACAAAATGCCGCGATACGATTTAGGACGACAGGGACCGTGTCACGTAATACCGGAACCTAATCGGTCCCTAATACCAAGCAGTCTTGTCTACGACACTGTCCACGATTAAGCCGCGACATCGACACGGTTCGCCGCTTCGTGCCACGCTTCGTGCCACGCTTCGCGCCACGCTTCGCGCCACGCCGAGTGGGACCTATCGCTGCGCGTGCATAATCGATCTTGATAACCGGTTCAAGGATACCTTACGTTGTACTTCACGGAGGATATGCTGCCTTGTTTCTCTATAGAGGGAACTCTATATCGATACTCTATATCGATACGCGATCGTTGTACGCGAGGCTAACGGGTCCGAGTACTCGGAATAATTATTATATACAGATGTATAATTCGACGCCGAATATTATTGTAGGTTTGGACTCGGAGGTATAAGATACACAGAGAACGGGACACGGTTTGTTGCTGATTTATGCAGCGTGCTCCCTTTGCAGTGCTACCGATAAACCAAACGAACCAACTGCTATCGCGGAGAAAGTATGCGACACCGTTCGAAAAGGAACGGATTGACGTTGACGCATTTGTTACGCGAATTATCTAAAATATTGGCCCGCGCTTTATTACACGAACGCGCAAACGAGGCGGGAGTAGTAGGGAACGAGAGGAAAATATCTCGGGCCGCGGTCGTTTCATTTGCTTATCTGTAAAACGACGCTAATCGGTACCGGACACGACACGTACCTATAACCCACAAGTACATACAAAGTTTCACTTTTATTGCATTCGTTGCGCCTGTTTCGCCGCTGCTAAAACTTACCAAGTGTTATTGTTGTTGTTGTTGGACGATTGGTAAAGGTGAGGAGGTTGGTTGTCTAGAATGGAGTCCAAGGCCGGCGAAGTGTAACCCTTGGCCAAACCCGAGGATAGCGTTCCCATAGACAGTGCCAGGGTGGCTAAAACCTAAACAGAGAGGTACATTTTTCGTATGAAAGTTGACGTGCGAGAATTCCTCCGAATTCTACCGAACGCGAATCTCGTCGTATCGATCGTCGCGATAGATTATACGGACGGAGGTGGTAGGTACAGAGAGATGCGAATTTGTTCATCGACGAATGTTGGGATACTCGGATCCCGTGTGTATACCTAGATATCACAGTAGCATATCGCGGCTCTCGACCACTGTATCGTATCGTTCGCGTCGGGTCGTGTCGAGTCGCGACGGACAAATTGTTGGCCGCAAATTGAAAGCCTGAGCGCCCTCTCTCTCTCTCTCTCTCTCTCTCTCACTCGCTCTCGCTCTCTCTTGAGCATTTGCGAGGAATACTAAACATCTCGCATAGCCCGGGATTGGTGTGCGCATCTCCGCAACGATCGCTAACAGAACGCCGCGCCGCGCCGTGTGTATCGCGGCGCGTGACGATGGTCGAGTGCTCGAGTTCCTTCTGTGTAGAAATTGCCGATTTTGCGGTGCACGGAGCCGAAATTACGGAACAACGGAATTTCCCGCAGAGGAACGCGAAACATTGTTGGAACCAGTGCTCCGACTCGTGCGCATCGTCGACCCTTTTCGATGATGCACACCACGCATTTCACGTATTTCTGGTTCGTTCTGGTTCCCGCGAATCGTGTCAACGATATACATATGTACTATGTTACGATATCCTAGCTAGCCGATAACCGAAGGAATGCTCGAAACAAAAACTGGTATCGTAGCATGCGCCAGCTCTGTTTATGCCTCTCTGCACTGTTTGGTTCAGGAAGAGATAGGAGACGGAGTCTAAACGACACGCGTGAGATTGGTTTTTGGCTGGTGGATTACTCAGAGACAAATTCATTGTCGTTTCAAGTTTTGCATTTGCGTTTCCGTTTTTCAGGAATGTCGATAAAGAGGTCCGATGGTGCACAGAAGTGTACACGAGTAGATATATTCTACGTACACCTATGTATATCCTTGGAGCTACCGTACACGTGTACCTAGCTATCGTGTATTCTTGGCAGAAGGAATACAGCGAGGTACTCGAGGCACGCTCAAACGGTACGGAAAGCGATACCCTCGAGGGTACAGACCGACAAATGTGTTTTCGCTCTACGGTGCCGTAGAAACTTGCCACGGCCATGCTCATCTTTCATGTGTTCGGACCCTTTCGCAGTTTTTACATACTTTTTAAACGATACACTATATACGTGTACACCAATTGTAAAAATAAATCGTACAATCGTACCAGAGATCTTGGCGCTTTCAATGTTCCGAGTGCGTCCGTGTCTTCGCCCTCTTATCCGATAGCATACATTCGGGATGATCGGTATCGAGGTCTCAATTTCCGAGACATCAATTTTATACGGTATCGCAATTACCGGGCTTTCGTTACGATTCCTAGGGTCGTCTCTATCGAGTGTCACGACGTTTGAGATCGTTTGTATCAGGTGTCACGGTTTTCCGAGTCATGGGATGATATTTCACGGTACCGAGGGTTCTACCTTTCGTCTTTGTCGCGCTTTGTCACAACTCGAAGCGGGATCGGTGGAAAGGTACTACGAAAGGTACTAAAAAACTCACCGATTGGAAAACGGCGTGCGAACCACGCAATATCGTTCGGTGACGCGACGGTAGTTCGACGCGAGTAAACCCTCTCGCTGTGCAGCGCGACGCGATTGTCGATTGCGGAAAGGTCAGTCAGTCAGATGACGGGACGGAACGGGACGGGACGGGACGGGACGGGACGGGACAGGACGCGACGCGTCGCAAACACGATGCGTTTAATCGCGCATAATAAGCGTCTAGCTGCGGTGAGAGCGAAATATCGAATCCCTATGTAAATGTACGTGAAATCGATGCCGAGAGTGTCTTCTTAAAATTCCATCGATTAAACAGGAAAACTATAGCGAAGGCATCGAGCAATCTGTACATTTTTCTCAACACTCGGCACAATTTATGCCGATTTTTAGCTTGCTCGATCGTAACGACCCGTCTCGCCGATGCCAACGGTTTGCATACAATACACATATGTTACAAGCGTGTTCAAGGACACGCCAGAGACAACACCAATGTAAATGCATTTGGTCCTCTTCGAGAAGGAAATAATTCTCGCACATTTGTCTTGGAGAGTTACTCGAATACAAACCCTGCAACTGGCATGAAGAAGTAGCGACACGAGTCATCGAACGGTTTACGCCAACTTTCCTCTACGTTCGAAGCGTATGCCGAGGAACTGAGCTCGCTTGGAAATCGAATGTAAAAGCTGGAATTGTATCGTGTCGAAGAGATTCGGTTTCCGTTGGAAATCCAGTAACGCGAATGATGCCTAGTTGTCGTGCTGAAAGTGATTATCGTCGTCGTTTAATTGACGTATAATGTACAATGTCAAAGTTAGAAACAGCGTGAACGAGACCCGGTAATTTAAGGTTCTGCATTTACTAATACCGAAATCTAATTCCCAACAGAACTGGAAGAGGACTAACAATAAGTGGATTCTACTAATACTAGATGTATGATAATACCTACTAATAACTCTATAGGTACACGTTCGTGCGGTGTTGTTACACGATTAAGATATTCCCTGATAAAAGAAACCTAGAATCAATATACTTGAAAGTCCCGGAAAGGTTGCGAAAGTGACGCGGATAAATGGAGAATTGGATAAAATCGGTCCGTGCAAACAGTACCTACTCTGTACTTTGTGCTATAACATTGAAAATTCAAGGAAATTCGCAATCCTCGCAAGAGTATGAATTTCCTGGGTCGACGCGACGCGACGGTTTGTAGATTTGGCTATCCGTTTCTTCTGGCAGCGGCACACGACACCGACGTTAAAAGCTCGTTTGCGCCAAGCTACACCGAGAAAGGATGTGCTCGAGTTAGGTCCAAGTTAACCGAGAGAACCATTAGCTTAAAACTGTTAGCCGAGGCCCTAAGCGAAAGGAGAACGAAGGAGAAAAAGAGCTTTGAAAGTCTTTAGAGTGGTGGTATTATGAAAATGGCTGGTCAGTCCAGGTTAGTAAAGTGCACGGCGAGTGTGTGCGCGCAATAAGCTCGGAGAGACGGGAAAGAGGGTGGAAATTCGAGTCGAAAGAGGGAGAGGCTCGAGTCGAAAGACTCACCGGTGCTCGATATGCATTTTAAGCTGGTCCACTCAATTAAGCTCGCGGCTATCTTGGATATTTGCATATCGATATGAGTCCGTGACAAGAAAGGAAGATTCGCTACAATCGACGGTAGTTTTCTTTTGGAGAGAATACCTGCGACATGTGCTGCGGTCTCGTCGCCGTCGACGTCATGTGTACCACGGAAGCTCTGGGCATTTTAAAGCTGTTTTCGCCCTCGTCTGGCACCGTTGTTACCTGCAACAGAAAAAGATAGCAATGTTACCCGATACGAACACACGATACCACTTGCCATAAACAGGATATCCATCTATCCATCCATCCATCCATCCATCAAACCCTACGACACGCCGCGCCGGCAAATTCCTTTCGAGCCTGTCGAGTCGAATCTTTTTCGGACCTTTCTATCGTCCAACTTTGAATTTCTACTTTCGACTGGTGCAACCTGGATCCTACCTCTCCTCCGAATAGCAGGATTAGTCGTGGCCTTGCCACTCGAACCATTAGCACCGTTCCCGTTATCTTTCTACTCGAAAGAACACGCCTAAACGTCGACCTCTCGCATTGTTTTCGCAATTTGTACACGGATCGTTGTCGCGATACCGTATTATCGCAACCGTAGTTTCGTGTTTTTGTAAGCAACCGTAAACCCAACCGGATCGTTTCGCCAAACAGTTTTGCGAACGTAATTGAAAGTCGAACGGTCGCGGTGGGGAGGGGTTAACATCGTGGCTGACATCGTGGTCCAAAGTTTACGAGCTTCCAGAAATTATAAAGGGGAGCAGTTGTAAGTAACCGCTCCTACCTACGATAAGGCAGTTGTCGAGGAACCATTGTCTAGAAACTTCTCAACAGATAATTGTCCCAGGTTGCACAGGCAATTGTGACGCCCACGCAACGTCCTGGTCTCGGAAAACGCAAACTTTTTGCGTCTGACAAGCCGTCACGTCGCGTCGCGTTGCGGCGGTTGCTTTCAAGCTCGTTACATCTAAATCCTCGTCAGTCGTGTCCTCTCCCTCTCCCTCTCTCTTAGACACTTTTTCAGTTTTACTCGCAATTATTGCAGGCCCCGCGGCTTGTTTATTCACATCCATGTAAACGAGCGAGAAAGCGAGCGGTTTCGGGTGCAGCTCGCTTACAATTAGAAGCCGGTCGAAACTGTCACCGGAGGCGTGCATTTAGGTCTCCCGACGATATTGGACACGTACACCCAGAGCCGCATTCTGGACCCCTTAGATATCGAATGAACGATGGTAACGGTTGTTCGACCTGTCCGTTCCGTTCACGCCTTTCGTGATTAACGACGGACTGGTTTAACGTGACAAAATTTCGCTCGACGCCCGTTGCTCCTGCATCGACGACAAACGAGTTAGAAAATGATGCGTGAATCGTTTAGCTCTCGCAAACTTTGTACAGTTCATTCTTTCGTAAATGACACTTTGTATTTCCAGTCACGGTACAACTTTGTCAACGGTGCTAAATGTACACGTCGCGATCACCGTCACCGTCGCGTTACGGATGCAATTGTTAAGATACCATAATCGTTGAGTATTCGTGCAAACTCCTGGTAGACAACTTCCACTCGAGTAGCTATATTGTACGCTATCGATGCGTCTACACTACACGCGCATTAGCGTACCTACATCGTACATACCAACGTACAAACGATTCTTCGTTGGAATAGTTTTCTTCCATTAGGTTAAAAGAGTCTCTATTCTATTTATTTTCGGCGCTGGATAACGTGATTCCTTTGTTCGATCGTGTTTGCAACAATCGTCATCTCGCAATCCATTTTCGCTGACATGTTCGGCTATCGCGAATCTAGAGAATCGTTTCAACATCGGAAAGTGTTGAATGGAGTAGGAGGAAGGCGATCGGCGATGTCGACGTGGGTGGAGAAAGACGTACGCCGGCAATGATTTACTCCCTCTATTGTATAGGCCTAGACACGCGTATTCCTTTATCGGTATCTTAATTGTAAGTAATATCTATCCTCGTGTGTCTCTTCTCGAGCGGTAATTTATAATTATCGCGGCGTCGTGAAAGATTAAGATCTATTTGCAACTTTATTCGATGCCAGTTTGCCCTCCTCATTCCACGAACCGCTGGAGAGCTAGCGACGCGGCGCGGTGCGGAGTGGGTGCAGCCGCGGCCGCGGTGATTTTCAATAACCGACAAGATAGCGGCGGATAAGCTCAACGGGTCCCCTTAGATGCGATTTCTCACGTTTCCTACCTCGGTCCACCACCCCCTCCGGGATTTATTCTCCCGAAGACTCGCCTAGAGGTTTCCAGAGCATCGTGGCTCCGCGTGCTGGCAAATCGTGGCTGTGAGATCAATATCTTGGAGAGTCTGGGACGCGGTTCGGTTACAACGATCGCGAGATCGTATCGAAAGCGTTTTGGAAGACTAATCGAACTCGTCTGATGGCGAACCGTTCGCGTTCGTTCACCGCTGTCGCTGTTACGTTACGATCACGTTACGTTACTAGCACAACGCGGAGAATTTCAATCGGAAAGTATCTCACGTTTCATTCGTCGCGCCTTGTCAAACCATTTTTCAAGCTTTTCAAATCTCGCAAAAATTCGACAGAATTATGTAGTCACATAATTTATGTTGGTGGACATGGTGGAAAGAAATTCTCGTCGCAGAGTAGTAAACTCGACGGGGGTTGGCAACTTTATTTTCAGAGTGTTATCAGGACTAAATTACAAAATAAATTCTTGTTTCGATTCGATGTGTGTCGAATACAAATGATAAATCAGCCATCGAATTTTAGTGTTAAAATACCGAGTATTATACACGTAATATTTTCAATTGTACCTCCCGCAGCCTTTGGTTCTATACTCAAAGGTTGGGAACCCACGCCGAGCCCGCGCCCGCGCCCGCGCCCGCGCCCGCGAGCTCTCGCCGAGGTCTCGGCACCTCGTCGTGGATCGTTGATCGTGAAAGGTGCATCCAGAGGTTGAGGTTTGCGGATGGTTAATCGTCCCGCTGGAGGTTGCAGAAAATTAAAAAGGGCCGCGAGATTTATACTCGGGCAAGGGAGGAGGGATTAATCTGAATAGATGAATCTGAATTCGAGCAAATATTCCAGAGCACGATGCGCTTGCATACAGAGCACCCGAGTTGGATAATATTTTCCCTAGACGCGTTACCCTTGCATAAACCTCAAGTATGCGCCCCGAAGGTTGACGACGCCGACGCCGACACCGACACCGACACCGACGCTACGATAGCGCACGGTTAATAATAATTTCTTGCCGAGATTTAATAAGAGATGCTGTCCACCGCGAGGAATGGCTGCCGGGAGCTAGGGGGATTGAACGTTGTTTTGAAATCGTTTCATCGTTTGCCACGCCCGCGTCTGCGTCCGCGCCGGGGTAAACACAACTTACTCTCCAACATTCGCGATAAACAAAAATACTGCTGCTTCGCGTTGCTTTATCCATCGATTAAAGATTCGATTAATTATGAAATTTTTGTAATCCAAGTGGTGCACAGCGGATCGACGGACCAGTTTACGCGCTACTGGTCTTTTATCCACGACTTGGTCGCGATGTTAATTAAATATTGCGAATATTATCGGTACTGACCACCGCACCGGCAGTAATTCTTCGCGACAAGATACCATCGCGTTTACCAGGTCGCCTTTAAACGCACACCAATTAATTACCGACACGACCGCATCTGTACGTTCGATTAAACCCGCAGCTATCGCGATTGATTTATGGGACATTTTCGTTCCGCAGCCAACGATCATTTTCTCCTAACTCGAGAAAGACGTATCAATTCCAAGAAAGGAAATGCACCTTGTGCAACCCGGAGGTACAGTAATCAAGTTGCAGTTTACACTCCGTATTTTATGTTTTATTAGGCTGCACCCTTTACCTTCTTTTCATTGGTTTCGTTTGTCGCGTGTCCGTTTATCAACGTCGCGCCGGTTATACGTATCGGAAGGAATGATACTCGTCGCGCACGTTCATCGATACATTATTGTATATTACGTATCGATAAGATCGATCGCGATCGTGCGTTACAAGCTCGTTGTTCCACGGTTTGATCTGTCGATGTCGATGTCGATGTCGATGTCGATGTCGATTCGTCGAGCGTCGTGGTACTCGTGACTCGTGCGCAACGTTTGTTAAGGTAATCGCGATCTGATTGTGAGCGTTCATTTTACCATGACTGTACACTTTCGCGCTCCCGCGTCTCGTTCCTTGTTCCTCGGATATGCTCGACACACCTTCCGTCCGCGACTCGAGAATACAATCTCCGTACCGTGTTGGCTCTCGATACCGTCGCGTCGTCTCTGCATAATCCTTATCTCGCAGTGCGTGTTATTAATTTAAACCTTTGGCCTTGAATGGGTTTCAGGGACCACGTGACGTCTATGAATAATATAATACAACGCATCCTTCCAGGCGGTTGGTATTCCTCGCGTGCGAACAGGACCACTATAAATCATCCTAACTTTAACTCGGTCCTTGTTGCGCGATTACTATTAGGTTGTAACTTGCAACACACGAAACGTTTGGTCGAACATTAAAGATGATGGAAACGATCGCTATTCTCCGTTAAAGTAATGCTTTAGGTATGCTATATTTTCCGGGTCATAGGGGAACATTTCTCATCGAGTGTGGAAAACGCGTAACCGAATGGCCCGTTTTCACGCTTGTCCTTTGAATTCGCGATGAATTCGCAGAGTCGCGCGTAGCCCTCGGCGCGGCGAGCGGCGCGGGCGCTCACAGCCTTTTGTTCCCCGCCCAAAAAGAAGCCGCCGCGTCCGCGCCGCGGAAATCCACTCCAAGAATAGCTTGCGTGGCGGTGCCACGAGCCACGAGTCGTGTTACTCGTCTCGTGTGCTAGTCGCCTCTAGACAGCTCAAACTTGTGCTCGCGCACTACCTCCTCGATTTCCCGCTCTATTATTATGAGTTTCGCGAAACACGGCTACGAGTATTCGAGCCCACTCCTCGTTCTCCGTATGTTTTCTTAAACGTCTGTCTATGTACAATACCACTGGTACAACAAATAGCTGTTGTACGAAAATAGCATATCCATGCGCAATATTCCATGTGCAATAGTGATCAGAAGCAGGCAGGAGATCCAAGGATCCGTTCTCGGTTACCTCGGTCGCCTTGTGTCAACAATTGTTACATCGTCGAGTATCGGGATACCGTTTCAACTCGCCTTAACGCGAATTGAAAATTAGCCTTGTCGAGGAACCTGATACCC